CCAGCTGATTTTCCTTATATTGCCTATTATTTCATGAACCTCTTTAAAGGCAGCTGCTTTCTGTAAAGGAGAGTCCACACCATCTCAATCTTTCCATAAAAAATTCCAGCCTCTGATCAGTGATCAGTGCCCTTTTTTCTGGTATGATGTCTTTGAGCTAAGTAATGAAGATTGACCACAAGATCCAATATCAAAGCATACCATTACTGCCACACAGTAGGCACAGCAGAGGTTTTCTATCTCCCCTTTTTCCTTATGGCTTATAAAAAAATGCTTTTCTGTTCACCACTGAGCACTGACAATTACTGTACAGAGAAGATTAAAAAAAAAAAAAAAAGTTAGAGTGAAACATCATAAAAAACAGTCCCTCCTTATGATATTTAGGTTTCTGCTGCTGGCCTTGGCTGAAGTCCAGATTCTACATGAACAAAATTCCCAAAGGCTTAAGGAGTACAGAATATAGCCCACAGTCAGGAAGTGCAATAACATGTGACAATGGGAAGAAATAAGAGGAAAAAAACCCACACTTTCTAATGCTTTTAGGCTTCTGACTCAATCAGTTTGGATCAAAACTCAGGGCTGTTAAGATTTTTGTGTAAATGAATTCTCTACTGCTAAACAAAAGCGTGTGTGTTACCGTATAAGTCAGTGGTAAACAGTATGACTACTTCTTCTCACTGATATTTCATTTTACAGTAGCAGCACTATAAAACCCCAACTTATATACCAGGTCACTGTCCTCTCTACTCAAATGAACTGCAAAGAATTGTTTCAGAAAACACAAAATCACCTCCTTGATTCTCCTTTCCAGGAAAGCTACTTGATATCCAGTGTTCACTGCTCAGTGCCAAAGCACGGTTCACTTACAAAATCAGAATGGAAAATAGTATGGTAATGTTCCATGTTTACTGTCATCCAGGTCAAAACTGTATCCTTCACATTAGATATCCATTGCTTAACTGATATCCTGAGATCTTATTGGCTGGGAAAACAAAACTGGATTCTCTTCATTTTCTAAGCAGTTAAAACATAAATTAGCCACGATTATATAATTATATTATCAGAAACATAGGAGTTCAGCGCTACTGTAGCTGATGTACACAGCAGAGCGAGCTTTGCTTTTTCTCCAAGTATGTCATTCTCATGGGGCAGATGTTTGTCTTCACAATGCAGATTTTCTCTAGAGGTCACAGGGGATCAATAAACATGAGTCCACGCCAGAAAAATATTTTAAACCCATTTTATACTTTCTTTCTCTTTTGTGTGTTTAGCGACAGACCAGTAAAATCAGTATCTTAGAGCCACAGAACACACAGAAGATAGCAGGTGTCTAAGCACTCTCTTGTTGACCATTTCCATGACCAGAAGGGGTCTGGTGTAAAATTCCATTTTCTGTTTACATTTTCCAGAAAAACATAACGATTTATAGGTTGTGAGAAAATTCCAAAGAGGCCTCTCCTTATTTCAATAAGATAACATTAATTGTTTCAGAGAGAATTATTCTGTTTTAGAACTTTTTTTTTCTTTTAATTTACAAAATCCCTGTCTTGTGCAGGGATAAAGCAGTCACAGAAATTCACTGAGAGAAAGTGGGTTTCTCGCACTTCTCATTGAGAGAAGTGGGAAGCCAGATTGTGTCAGTGTGTGAGCAGCACGGAGAGCAGCGTCCATGCGTTAGATGAAAACGAGCCAACCGCGCCTAGGGATGGGGCAGAAAGGTGGCTGACGCCTCCCACCAGCCATGGTCAATGATGCAGTGCTGGATGCAAAAAGTTGCCATGAGAGCATTCTACTGTGAACCCCTTACTTGGCAGAAAAAGAAAAAATATAACAGAGGAAACTGTGAATCCAAGGCATAGTTCCCATTCCCTGGGATGCTCCATAACAATTTACCATGCCTTGGATCATAAAGTTACAATCTAGCCCATAAGGAGGTGACCCTATGAGAATTAGTATGTCAGAGAGAGAGAAACCATATCTGTTCACGGTGAAAAATACAAGGGCATGGGATTCAAATGCAGCTCCTTTATTTTTTGCTGCTGGAGCACAAGTAGCCTATGAAAATCTTATGAGCTTAACGCCTAAAGTATCTGAAATTACGAGAAGCTCACTGGCCGTCTCGGCCTCCAGCAGGAAATCCTGCACTTGATTAGCACCGATTTTCCTCCCCCTCACAGTAAGCCTAACATGCCCAAGCCCCATCACTCCTAGGACCAGAGAGCCATTGGTAAAAGCAAATGACATTGACTCCTTAAATGGCCTCGTCTTCCTTGGGTAGCTGGAAACTTGCTGGAAACAGTTCCCCCAGTACTGCATCCCATTGCTTTTGTTTATCTATCCTTGCTGACATTTTCTTCAATTAGGAAACAATAGCTCCGTTCCAATGTACTGAGCAGAATTACTGAAACTGAGTCACGTGGGATCGTGAGGGTGTGTTTTCAATTATTCACTCTGTCTTTTTTTGCCAGGCCTATGAAGAGGAACAGCCTTCTGCAGAAGTCAGGTTTGTCTGCCTCGCTGTTGTAAGTTCCTCCTTTTGAATTTTTATTTTACAGTAGGTGGAGAGTTTTTGCCTTTTTTTTTTCTTTTTCTTTTTAACAGTAAATTCAGCTCTCCAAAAGTGCTTTGCTCTGTATTAGAAAACTTCCACATCTCTAGTTCTTCTTATTGGTGGAAATTTTAGACTTCTGCAATAGTTCAGTGTAATAATATTGCTCAGGAATGAATCTGACAAAGATCACAAGATCTGGATTAAAAAGGGATGCAAGATATCATGCTGTTAGCACTCTGTAATATAAAGCTCATCTTGTTCTTGCAAGCAAAGAACAGATCTGACTCTCCTACTGTCTGTTTGACAGCACAATATTACCATTCAATCTGGGAGCTACATCAAATTATTTGCATCTTGTAAATGCTCAGTTTAATATCCAACCAAAAATCTGAAGCAAACGGGCACAGCACAAATTATGCATTTTGTTTGCAGAGAACAGATTGAGTTAGGGCTTTTTAAACTTAAAGCTGGAAAAATAAAGCTTGGGGGAAAAAAAAAGAAAAAGAGAAGGAACATTTGGTTTGCATTATAAACCACAGACAACTTGCATCAGGCGCGCTGGAGGTACAGGACTGGCGAGGGAAAATGACAAGTAGCGAGTGCACCGAGGAGAAAGATGAATGGCTTGGAGGATTGACTCTGAAGTAATTGTCCATGCCCACAATACCTTGAATTAAATTTAGTGGAAGATGGCAATGAATCATAAAACTTCTCTGGCATTTGTGATGCTATTTTCTGTGTAAAATAACATTTCAGGATATTTATATTGGAAAGCTTATGGACTGTTTTTTTGTTGCCTCCTGTATTTCTGTCACTTACGCAACGCTGAATCAGAAGTTCTGGAAAGGATACAGCTTTAGTTGAGACCTGGGCTGTGACCTAATACTTAGAGCAAGTATTTAACTGGAAGTCATCAGGTCTACTCAGTGTATTTTCAGCTCAGCCATTGCTTGCTTTGAGATACTAGGTAAGTCATTCAGGGTTAAACTTGAGTCTCTGAGAGGTAACTGAGCTCTGGGGATGGAGGGAAGCAGAAACCAGCTGATGGAGCAGGGCAGAAAATGTGTTCTCTCTGCATAACGCAGAAGTTCTGGCACTGCAGGAAGGGCGGGATGGCAGGGTGCACTTAGAGCTGTGTTTCTTTCATTCTTTCAACAGGTGCTTCTATGCGTTTCCTGCATTCCAGATGCCTACCATTAGCTGGAGAGGCTCCTTTTGGAGCATTTAGTAATGATGGCAATGCTCCCTCTTAAGCTCAGCAGCTTCAGGTAGAGTGAGAAAGTGGTGCTGCATCTCTCTCTGTCCTTCATTCTATTATGCTAACCTCCAGAGGACTGTAGTTCAACCACTAAACTACCTATTCTGTTTATCCATGTGCTTAATGGCTCTATTTAATTCTCTTTCTTAGGGGAGATAAAAGTGCAGTTATTTTTGTACAACACTGAAATCCCTGAATGTAAAATGCTTTTTTTCTTATTTTCCCCCATGGGCGAGGTTGTTTAGGTCTGAATGTACAATTCAGGCTAATTTCTGACATTGCTACTGCCAATATCTAACAGAGATTTCCAGAACCACAGAAGAAGCAACAGTCCCCATGCAGACTTTCCAGTGATAGATATTGCACAGACCTGGGACACATTAGCTCTGCTGCTTCCTATCAAGATGCTGGGGGGAGGTACTTGCTCCATACTCCAATATAACAGCAAGGTGTGAAGTTCTCCTTGTCCTATCCATTATATTGCTTTTTCAAAAGCATTCTGTTCTAATAGGGCAGTTTTCATGTTTTCCTTCCTCTAAAATACCTTCACATGTACATGAAAATCAACATCAAGCTTTACAAGATTAACTTCTTAATGCACTGGGGGACTCTAATAAAGGACTTCCCAACTCAAAAACTGAAATTAGGTGGGTGCATAATAAAATATTCTTAAGTTTTGGGTTAACCAAAACACTTAAAATGATCCATTTTAACAAAACAGAAAAACCCCAAACTTTGAAAGCCCTAACATATTTGAAAGGATGAGTGTCAGTCAGCCTTTAACCAAAACAAAGCAAGCAACAGAAAAGCATATGACCAATTGCAGACTTAAGACTAAATTTCATCAGCAACTGCTCCTTATTTCATCTCTCAGAATTATTATTCTGATGTAATTCATAGCATTTTTCAACTCTACTTCAAAATAATTTACAGAGTAGAGGTTCTGAAAAGGAGCTTCTCAGTTGTGCAGAAATGGGGATTAATGCTAGAGAAATATGACCCAAAGTCAACCACAAAGTCCATGTGGTAAAGCCGAGCTCCATGTCATCCCTTTCACCATCCCCTCCCGCCTCCGTACTCTTACACGTAGGCTTAGATGTCCTTTCACTCAGTGCACACTCGGTGTCACATGAAGGCAGCGTGGCTGTGCTGGTGGGCAGTCCTCCTTCGCTACCGCAGCTGCATTCGCCCATGGCTGCAAATCCCGTTGCTATTCATAAGAAAAGAGGCTACTCAGAAAACCAAAAAAAAGGTAAGGGGAAAAAAAAAAAAAAAAGAGGGACATAGATCATGCAGTGTTGAGAACCCACAGTGACGGAGAGGAGACGCTCCCAAAGACACACAGGAGAAGAGCAGAGCACCCACCAGTTCTGCTGAACTTGACATGTTCTCGCAGAACTTTTAAACTTTAATTCTGCAATGGAATAGTGCTCTGCTGGGAAACCCAAGGAGTTCCAGTGCTCAGGACATGAGTTTGGGGAAGCGTTAGGGATTCTCTTCAGGAAGAGAAACACTAAAGAGCACTATTAGGACAGGTATGACAAAAAATAAGTTATCTTTGAACTTTTATAGGACTATCACCAAAAATGACTGCATAAATTAACATGCTTCTCCTTGGCAGATAAAGGGCCCTGTTTGCTCCACCTGAAAAAGCTATATGAAAAATCTTTATCTTACAAATCCAGACAAACTCAGATGCATGCTGAACTGTGCACTTCTCAAGGAATGCTATAAAGTCCTTTCAGAAAGGTACTCACTGCAAACCATTCATCATCTGTTTTTGTTTTTCTTTCAGAGTTTGGTTGATTTCTGTGGTTATCTGGGGGGAGGGAGGGGTGAGGGGGTGCATAGAGGGAGAGAAGAGAAAAATATAATCCTGAGGATTTATTATATGACAGATCTGGCTTAGTCAGGACTCACAAGCCTGTTGTGACTGTGAGAAGTGCTTAGAAAATCTGCCTTCTAACACTTTCATATCACTGGTGGTATTTTATATAAAAAGTGCACATACACCTACCTAATTCTGCATAGACACAGAAAAAAAGAAAATCCATAGCACACTGTAACCTTTATTTTTCCTCTCAGTGCTATACTCAAAAAATCTCTTTTCAAGTTACACTGGTTTCCAATCTGGTGTATAACACGTACAGGCTGCTGTGAATTTTACAAATCCTTCAGTTTCAATAAGATTTTTTTTTCCTAGAATGACAGCATATATTAAGTATTGTCCTACTGTAAGAAAATTCTGTAAGAGAATACAAAAGCTTCTGTAATGAAAATGATAATCAAAACTAAGTGAGAAAGTCAAAGCAATTCATTTAGCCTTCCTCCTGTTGATTTTTTTCTAGGAGTGACATATGTCTAACAAAATATTTCTATAAAGCTACTTGTTCTGAAAGAAAGTGGAAACATTTTTAATAAAGTTCCTCTGTTGTTTTAACATACTCACTACTCATTTTACAAAAGCTCTAACTTTTACCATATTTTTCTTGTATAGTCTTTCATTTTCTCTTAATTTGGTATGCTGAATCATATGCTAAAACAAACCATATCTTTAATGGACCACTTTTTTGATTGATATATTGGAGCTGTATTCTTTCATACAGTTCAATCCCTAATCAGATATTCACATCTAAAGTGCTTCAATGGATCTCTCTGTTGCTGTTAAATGCACAGTCTTAAGTGAGTTCTGGTCTGCAAAGGTAGGAGTTTTATAGCAGCCTGACATTCTCTACTCTCTCATGGCTAAGATCTGCTTTTGCTAAACCACTTACAAATCAGATGTGCCAGGCAAAGAACTTAACCTCAACAATTTGATTAATCTTGTTTGAATTATAGTGGTTTCATGAATCAAACTTCAGAAGGAGCCTCCTCTTTCCAAATAATGCTAGTAGGATAGAATAATGCTTTTAAGTATCTCCCTTTTCAATTTGCGAATTCAACATGCAAATTCAGCAGAAGCCAAAAGGAAGAAGCACAATGGAAGCATCAAAAACATTTATTAAAAGCACTCCATTGTGCTTGGGGAGCAGGGGAAAAGAATGAAAAGGTGAAGGAGAATTTAGTAGAGCACAGCACAGAAACAGAATTAGCAAGTCATGAGATATCACGTGGCTGTTAGTAGACTGAAAGGCTCTGTTGATTCGATTTATTCATTAGGGCTTTTCAGTAGCGTAGGTTATTAAGTGGGGGAAAGTGGGGTATATTACAACTCACTTTTTATATTTCCTTTCCTCGAGGATATTTAGCTCCAGAGAAGCAGAGAAAGTTATTGGAAGTATCATGCCACACAAATGGGAGAACGATAGGAAAAAGAGCAGCATCACCAGCTCTCTGAAGATGGATCGCAAAGGCAACGCTGGGAACAGGAAATCAAGAAAGTTTCGCTCTATTTCAAGATCACTTATACTTTGCAATGCCAAAAACAGTGATGATGGGTCAAGTCCAGATGAGAAATGCCCCGATTCCTTTGAGATTTCTACCAACTGGGGCCAAGAGGATTTTGACTGCTGTTCTAGAACGCAACTGCCATGCACATCAGAAACAGAAGACAGCCCACCTGATCCTCCACGCGTGATCACCAGCATGGTCCACTGCAAAGCTGCAGCAAATGAAAACTGCAACAACGTGAGAAGAAAGTTATTCGTCAAGGTAGGCAACTTGGTGTAGTTTACTGCTATATTTCCCATTACAGAAATTCCTAAATGGATTAATTCATATTTCTCAGGAGCACAGCATTCCACTGTTTTTGTCAGAGTTTATGAGCCTGCAGTGTTCCTGCTCTGTGTCAACAGCATACAAATGTATGAGGCTCCCTGCTGTGCTGTTGCACTCTATTGATTGATGCTGATGAAATCAATGACTCCTAGGCCACTCTCGGTACATTCAGATCAGCACAGCTGCACTGGTTTCTACCTGCAATAGAGTTATTTGCCTCAAAATATAAAGCTGTCACTATACTATCATGCATTTTTGAACAGTGGTACTGTGAGAGCTCAAAAGCTATGCAAGTATGAATTGTATTCATACTATGAAAGACATGAGATTCAGCAAAGTCTTTCTCTGATTCAGGAAGGAGGTGGTGGCAGCTCTACACCACCAGAGATGTCACTGTCTCTTGAGATGTGAGAGCAAAACCCTAACAGTCTCATATTACAACATTATTTTTTAATCAGGAAGGATTTTTTTTCTCCTCCCGTAAAGCTCTGACCATATCCAGAATAAGCAATGTATTCTAGATGTCTGTAGAAAGTTCTTCTCAGTGAGATATCATAACTTTTCACTTTCTCTCTACCTGTTTTTGTGATGTGTTTACTTCACCCGAGAGGGGACATCACTGCAGGTATGATATGACTCTTAATATGCTCTATGTCCTTCTGGCACACAGACTGCGTATACAACCAATAAAACAGTTCCTAGAGAAATAAACACATGGTCATTACTTACCAAATGGTGGCTTGTGTGGAGGAACTCACTCCTTCACATAAAACAGAATATGTAAAAAGAAATAAATTAAATTGTACATATCTTTGAAAGAAATTACCTAAAACCAGATCTTGTCAGCTAAAGATCCACTGGCAAAGTGGTGCTGAAAATCTGAATCTCCCCTTACTGCTTCAGTTTCTTGGTAATGACCACAGTATGCAGCCCAAAATTGCAAAGCCTGCAGCAAGACAGTGTTCTGGACATGAGGCAGGAGCACAGGAGCCAACTTTCTATTGCAATCTGACAGAAAACATAAACAGCTGAAACCAACCCAAGACCCAAAAAACACTCAGTCACCTGCAAAACCACACAGCCTCTTCCCCTTTGGAAACAGTCCATATGCATTCTTCTGACTTCCCTGCAAGAGCAGACTGGCCTCTCTGGAGTCTACCCTTTTCCTTTTTAAACACAGTTGAAGCGCTTAAATGCCTGTCAGCAGCCACAATCCACTTGCTTGCATAACTCCAAAATATTCTAATAACAGTTGCGATCCCAATCCATACAAAACTACTCAGCATCTTACTGCAGAAAGGAAGTTTAGATCATTTGCTTTAAGAGTTGGCAGGTAGCTCAAACTGGCATCTGGGGAATGGAGTACGTCTCACAACTGAGCAGTCAACTCTCACTGAAGCAGACTATAGAACTGCAGAGGGTATAAATCCTCTCCTGAGGCTGAAATGTCTCTCTCATGCAACAGGATGGGTCAGGAGACAGGGTGGATGTGGCCATAAACCAGCAACTCAAGCCCTTACAGCACTGCTTGGATTGCTTCTTGGCATTGTAAATCCAGGACACATTAAATTTGCTCTCCAGAGCTCTGATAACAGCATGAACCCCTTCTGACACTACTTGCTAATCTTCCATACCTTCCAGAGTCACGGATCAGTGATACTAAAAGGTCTCATCTCAGCTAAGTAGGACAAATGTTGCTAAAAGCTACAGTGACTTTACCCCATACCACTGTTGCTGAGCTTTGCCTTACATTATTAAAGGACTGATCGATCTCTCATAAGGCATGAGTCTGCCATAACAACCTTCCTGTGTACCAGAGCTTATTTGCAAAACCTCTTTGTATAAGAAAGAAGTCAACGAGCATTCTCCAAACCCGATTCTACCACATTCTCTTCATCTCTAGGTGCCACTTTGAAAATCCATGATGTGTGACTCCAAGTTGAAGGGCTCCTGTCTTTGAGAAAATTGGTTTTATTTTTCTGTGGTTTCACTGAGGATATTGCAGTATTCTTCTCTGCAGATTTAACAGCTTTACAATGAGACAACAAAACATGTGGGCAGTACTGGATGATAGGAGTTCCGTTCATAATCATGTTTTCTGGACAAGTTTCTATGTGTCCTGAAAAACAGAGGCATTTGGAAAGGAGAGAAAACAAAAAATAAATGTCAGTGCTTTGTATCTAGTGTACCTGCTGCACCAACATAACGAGCAGTGTGGAAGATGGCTTTGCCTGCTTGTGTCACTAGGAAGCATGAGAAAAGACATGACTAGAAAATATCAACTCACATTCTTCAGAGAACAGTGATCTCCACCGGAGCTAAGTGCTGCTTTTGTGGTCTGTGGTTTCTCCTCACTGCACCACTGATACCCTGGAAAACATTAAGAATTACAGTCTAGAGGGGCTGGCAGGCAGGGTGAAAAACCATCTAGAAGAAACTGCAGCTGGGAAGGGCTGGCTTTTCATGCACATTGGATTCAGATTGATCTGACTGCATGTCTGCACACAGTTTTGAAATATCTCTATCCTCACTTTCCTTGGTCTCTGCCTGCCTGAAGCAGGAAAAAAGCAAAAGGTCATCCTCTTCCTCAGCCATTGCCAGAATGTATTTTTGTTAACTTGGCTTTGTGCAAGAGCCTGTTATCTGGCCCTTTGGTACTAGGACAAGTGTTATGGCAACAGACTGTAATGTCTCAAACATGAGCCCATGGGCAAAATGTGAAAAAAAAAATTGCCAGAGGAGAGACTGCATTTATTTAGGCATTTGCACATTTGCCTGCCTTACCTTGCTTGCTCTCTCCCTCCGCATTCCCTGCCCTCTTGCTTTTGTGACAGCAGGCCCATGTGAATCTCCGAGCAAGCTGGGAAAGAGGTTTTTATATAAAAACAATGTGTGCTGCAAAATGTGGGCTGGAGCAAAGGTTCCCAGAAAAACATACCAAAGCCCAGACGATGGGTAGAAAGGTCTGTAACATCTGTTGTGCTATCTAGGGTAGAACCTGAAAGAATCTCATGCCCTGCTTCTTGCATCATCCAAAGACTTTCTGCCTCCTATCATTTTATTAATTGCGAAGGAAATTTGCTGCTGGAAAAATTAATTATATCTACTATAATTATTTTGAAAGGGTCAAGGAATCAGCTGGGGGACATCAGAATCAGCAGAGTCATGTCAGTTAGTGCCAGAGAGACCCTAGTTCTTTTTTTGTTAGAACTGATACAGGAAAAAATGCTTAAAAGAAAATGCTTAAGAAAAAAGCTGTATTCTCTGAATCTTGGAAATCTGAGCCATTTCAAGTCAGGATAGAAAAGCCAAATGTTTAAATTCACTATTGTACTGTTGTTAGATTTTTGATTTATTCTTTGCCTTTTTGAAAGCAACAGTCAATCAGCTTATTGTCATAAGCTTAGTTAACTGAGTCAAAGACCTTACTTGAACTAGCCTTGTATAACACTTCATTTCATTTCAGACAATCTAACTACTGTGTCTTACGTTAAGAGTGCACAAAAGTTTTTAAGTTTTCCACAGATGCCATGGTTACCCTTATTTCAAAACAACATCTGGAATGAGATGTTTTCAGACAGGACTCTGGGCTAGAAATGTGTAATGAGAACATAAAGGGAAAAGAAATATCTTAAATGGCAGACAGAAAAACAGCTCTGCATTGGGCATAAAAAAAAGAGGTGAGGGTGGGGAGCTGGTCTGAATATAGGGATTACTTTTCCAGAACAAAACACATGAAAAATTAATTTATTCTCACCTGCAACACAAATGTATTCAAGAGGGCTCTCGAGCTCCACCTTTGATTTTAATCTTCCAGCCAAGCAGAGCCAGTTTAAATACAGACTTTGCTTAGAATATACTCCTGCACACTTTTTTTATTTTACCTTCAGTTTGATGAGTATAATGCAAATACTATTTTCACCAGAGTCTTGAAGTATTGGGTTGCAAAGCCTCTTAAAAGCTAAGGAATTTTATTTGCTGGTAGCTAATATGCATTTAAACACACGTGCCAATAATGAGCAGGTAAGTCTGACCCAGAATCCATCCGCCCCCACACAAACCTTTACAGTCTTATTTTAACACATTTTCAGCATTTGCTAGGTTCAGAGCTATAAATCATCTTGCAAAACCAGCAAGATACATTAAAAGGGAGAAGGATGCAAAACAAATAATGTCTCTACTTTTGGAACCATGCAGTATTCCTATGCATAAAATAATAAGTGAAAAAGGAAATAACCCAGTGCAAATTGACTGCTGGCACATGAATTGGTCGAATGTTTATTTTTCTAAAGAACAGCTTTTATTAATTTTCTGTCATGTTGCAATAACTTGGATGTGAATACAGTGACATATATCCAGGACCCAAAAAAGTGCAGATACTGACAACATACAGGTATTTGCCACATGTCCTTCCAGCCTAATATATATATACATACGCTTTTAAGTAATTCACATAAATGAATCTCAAAAGTGAGTTGACTGAAACACATAGTTTACCTGAAATATAGTCCAACTTGGAAAAATAACAACAGATTTAAACTAAAATTGTATTTGTTCTCAAGATTTTTCTGTAACATACAATGAATTTAACTTCTACTTTCCTTCTGACTAAATAAATGGTTGCAATTGATGGCTCTTGGAAATAATATCTATATCTAATCCAAGCCCTTTCACATGTCTGTTCCAATACAACCTGGAATTTCCACCGGGCAGGTGTCCCATTGTACAAAACACGAGGTCCCCCCTAAGAACATGCTGGGGGCTCTATTCCTGCAAGGGGCAAAACCTCAGAGCCAAATCCACCTCTGAGACCTCCTGTGAAACTGAAGGGAGTTAAACAACTTTGGGACAATTAATAATAAAGACTTTTAAAAATACTATTAACAGAGAACACGCTCACTGTGAACAAGGTATTCCAAGGCCGTGACAGTGTTAAGAGCACAACAGTTAAGGGTGTGAAGAGCATGACATTGCAGAAATACTTTGCCAACTAGCAGAAGTTTCCTACTTTTAATATCTTGCATTTTCATGTTTTAGAACAAGCATACTATGCTTTTGAAAACATTGCAAGTTTAACGGGTGTTTCATGTATGCATACCTGGCCCTTAATTTCTTAAGGTTGAATGAAACACAGGACCAGTGCAAATGAGCAGAAAAGGTGGCTCATATGTTTTTTCTACCCAAGATCTGAAATTTTAAGTCATTAGAATTCTCATCTTTACTTTGATACCACACTGAAAACTATCAGATTAAGAAAAAAACAAACAAACAAACAAAAAAAACCATAATGTAATCCTGAGTTCAAGTATATGTATTTCCTGAGATATTTACCTTAGGTGAAAAGTAAATACAGGTGTTTCAAAACTAACTTTGGAGCTCAAAATGACTGGTTTAAAGTAGAATTTTGTCCATACTTGTACACTTACCTGCAACTTACTAGAAGCACTTTTCGCAGACAAAAAAGGTTTCATAAAATTCATGCTCTTTATCAAGAACAGACAATCTGGAACAAAAGCAAACTCACAAACTTAGCAAGTCAAACAAGTATAGTATAGCCCCTATTGATTATCTATTGAATTCATCCTGCACTGAGCCTTGTACTCAACCTTAAATACTTCATTCAGTCACAGCCTTAGTTTTACTCTGACAGGTCTCATAATGGGAACCAGGCTTCAAGAGTAAGCCAGCAAGATAATGATATCTATTGACATTGCTGTAAATACTAAATAGTACTGTAAGTACTAGATTTGTATTTCCTATCAGGTAGGTATGATGTGATCCCTATTGATTTGTGGTGAAAAGTCACAATGGCTCTAACCTTCGATTCTGGAAGAACTCTACTTAGGACAGAAGTGGAAATCTAGTGATGGTGAAGGAGACAGTTACACAGCTTTCCCTGCCCTGTCAGAGGACAACAGGTTACTAGATATAGTTTATGTCATGCTGATAGCGGGTCCCTGGAGCTGTGCTAACGCTTGATCACTGGCTGTATCTTGTGAACAAGAGAGGACCCCTGACACTGAGCTGTCCTAATGTGCAAGATGCACATCAAGCTCTCAGAATGACCCTAGGTGCAGGATCAACTAGGGTCTTGACCACATACTGTGCTCGTTTGCCCTGTTCACTTCTCTAAGGATGGAGAGGCTGGCGGTGGGCAATAGGGATGTTCAGCTGAGCACAGGATGAATGGATACTCAGACATACAGGACAAATTAAATAGAAACTGTATGCTAGCTTTCCATCTCTCCGTCTGTTTAGAATTCTGTTGTGCCCCAGTATTTGTGCTTCAGGGATATACTGCCTAGACATGTGTTGTCCTTTGTATGATTAGTAAATCCATCCTTTGCTTTACTTACTCATATGACGTAAGACTATTTATCTTTCTACAGCCATTTGTTAACAATTCATAACCATGTTACAAATGTGCTTGCAATTAGCCCTCCATATGTAACATACAGACTACTGCATCTTCAACCAGTCCAAAACGGACAAAGAATATTCCACTATTCCAGTAATCTTTGCTTCCTCTGCTCCACACTTAAAAAGTCAGCAGCTGGGGGCAGAGCTTTTAGTGCTTTGTATACACTTATTTCCATTCAGATCTCTCATGTTTTCTAAAGGACTTCCTTTTTTTTGGTGTATGTTTGTTTTTTTCTCGCCATCTTTTGGCATAGGCAAAACATATCCAACTACTATGAAAAGTCTATTATTTGTTCTCTTCCTCCCTGTGCAAAGGCACACACTATTCTAATTCTTCCCTCTTGTAGTCAGAAGCCACTGAAGTTCTAGAGAAAACAACTTTTGAAAAACACTGACTTTAAGATACCACTATTCTTTCAAAGCTGCACAGCATCTAGGGCCTGTTCATGTCCTACTTGGAGAGAACCTGGATCTAATAACTTTTTTTTTTTTTTTTTTTTTTTAAAAGGGGGTTAGGATAGTTGTAAATACCTTTTAGATCTTTCATACATCTTCTTTCATGCAATCTTTCTTCTTCCTCAATTAGGACAGCTGCATTTGCAGGCTGTGCACATCCGCAGGGAACTGCAACCCAGGAATGAAGCTCTCCAGGAGTCCAAACGCGACGTCTCCCCGCAAGGGGTTCACGGGCAGCCAGGAGACCGTGGGACGCACAGCAAACAGGTACGGTACACTGCAGGGAGCGCGCTCGCCAGGCTGACATTCCTCTGTACGGATTTTGCATGGTAAACTTTGGGAGAAACTATGATTTGAAGCTCAGTTTCACAGAGGGGCAGTGATTTTATTTATTTATTTATTTTTACAATACTTGGAGAGGGTCTAGCAAAATAAAACTGTGACCACAGAGGGATCTAATGCTCCTCTATTACAATAAGAAATAGCACTTGGAAGAATGGCGGCTTGTATATAACATCCAGCTTTCCAAAGGTCTCTTCCTACTTGCGCTATTCAAGGGCAGTGTAGGATGCCATTGGAAAACAACTGAATAGGAGTTAAACAGGTACTCTCTGCTCAACTCAAAAGGGCAAAATGTGATGGGGCTTGGGCTGGAGTTGAGTTCATATTCAAAGTCCACAAGTATCTGCCTACATACAAGTGGCCAGCACAAGTTTCCAGACAGGGGAAGAAATGGAGGCACAGAGAGGGACTATCTCACACTTGAAAGTAAAGCTGTCATTCCATATGATTCACAAATATACATTCCAGAAACGTACGTTGCGTCCTCTAAGTGTCCCCTGCTTGAGCAGGGAGGTTGGACTAGATGACCTCTAGATGTTCCTTCCAATCTGAACCATTCTGTGATTCTGTGAGCTATTGGCTGTACAAGTGGCCTTATCCATTTGGCTCTGAGAACAGAAGGCAAAATGAGAACCCAGACAGCAAAGGCAGAGTGGTCAGAACCTAGGTAACAGTGCTCAAGGTCAGGAGAAAACAACCAGCCACATATCGTGGTATCCTGGGTGCCTGGAGCAGGGTTACTGCCATACAACAGGAACAGCACTTGCCTCAGCGTTATTCTGAGCTACACATGAAGGCTAAGGTTCACCTGGGTCTGCAGCCATGTGTGATAATGCAGCTCTTGATCTGCAAGATCGAGCAGAAGAAAGCAGAAACAACAGAAAGCTCAAGCAAGCAGTTGGGTGCACCAAGCATCAAAATGTCTACATCATGGCAGTACATTCAAGGCAAAGGGAGGCTTGCAGTTGATCCCCTCAGTTAGTAAGATATGGAGTGCAATAGTGACGTACTTTTCTATATCTGTAAAATGACGTGCACATAAATGTTATCTTTCCTTTTTTTTTATTTTTAAGGGATGGTCATCAAAGCCCAAGGGATGAACTCTTAACACTAAATGGACAATCACTTAATAATCTGCCCAGCAGAGAGGCTGAATCTCTCTCTCAGTCAACGACACGTCTGGTGAACATAGTGATGGCTAGCAAAGTAAGCATGAAAGTTGTGGTCCACCCCACAACTCCGAGGTGATTTGACAGCAGCTGCTTGAAAGACAAGGGGAATTTGTACATCAGGCATTTGAAGAACATGATTTTGCTCTTCCTGACAAAACCTCAACCTCTTGTGGTTAGACTCCGGCAGACTTCAGCATAGCTTTTCCCCAAATAAATAGAGGCTATGGGGAGGCAAAGGCCCTGGGAAATCCTAGCAGGGGCTGTACAATGCCTTCTTTTAGAAACATAGGGCTTGCCAAAGTTAATTTTCCATGTAGAATTTGAGCAAAGGCAGAGGTAGATTAAGGCAAGACCTACAGATCTAGGAGCCAGAGAACAGGCTCTGCACTGAAGGAATTTTTTTTTTTGAATCTAGGGTCTGTAGCTAGGAAAGTCCCATCGTGAATGTTACTGGAATCTGCCACAGATACAGGGGAAAGCATTAACAGATCTGCTGCTGACAGTAAGCAGCATTAACAGATCACGACCCCAGATTATCACCAGTTCTTTCAGTGGAAAAACCCTTTTGATCTTCTTTCTTTCAGAGTCCATTTCATTGGATTAAACCTGTTTCATTTCAGTCTTCTTGTCCCCTCATCCACATCCCAAACTACTAGAGGCACCAAAGGCTTTTCACTTAAAAATTCTGGAGGAGACTCAAGGATGATTGAGGACAGCGTTAGTCTCCCACTATATGTATGCCACTACAAAGAGAATGGATTTCTGCCAGGGTTTGTTGCAGGCTTGGTACTTGGACATTGTAGGAAAAAGGCCACCTTCCACTTGTAATCTACAGCAGTCACACACAGACTGCTGCTATTATTCTAGGCTGAGAAAACACTCGTTGCTGAAGCTGCCACCAGCTGTGGTAAAGTTTCCCTCTCACTAAGACTGCAGTGCTGTGCACTGTCTCGCCTGATGTCTGCTGGTTTTGCCAATATTTTTGTTTATTTTCCCTCCTTTAAGAATCTAAGAGGCCAGAGAGAAACTATATTAAGCTGTTGTGGTTTAATACCACCCAAGAGACAGCCAGGTGAGTTGTGCATTTAAACACAAGCCTGCATCAAAGTGATTAAGAGCTAATAGCATAGGTTTTTCAAGCAAGCTGGCTTGTTACAGCAACACTGCAAAATCAGCTTCAGAATGCTTTTGAAGGATTTTTTTTTTTTTTTTTTGCATTTCTTATTCTGAAAAGTTCTCCAGGGAAAGGGATGGGGAAGTCTTAGGATTTTGCTACTTGGCAATGCCACCACCTGCTGCTGAAGAAGAAAATTACCATGCCTTAGCTCTTGATAAGGTATTGTCAAAAAGCCCTACTAAAATTAGGCTTCTGGAAGAAAATGCTTGTCTTGGCTGCCAACAGACACACTAGAACATACGGATCCTGCTCTAATGCTGTTCTGTCGCTTTGTTAGCCCCTGCAAAGTTTCCCTAAGCAAAACGTTTTTATATTTCAAGGTTTTACTGTAGTAAATTATCAGTACTGTCTATATTCAATAATGTTGTTGTTCCATGTTTATGATTTTCTCTGGATCATTGACATTCCCTGTACTAGAATATCATGAACTATACACTCTTGGAAACTGTTTTTACAAACTGTTATTCAGATATGATCACTTTTCCTCTTTTCAAACTGTTTTCAAAATCTGCATACAGAAACCTATAAGTTTTACCTTAAGGTTTATAAATGCTAAAATTAGTGGCCATATTTTCCAAGCATATGCCAGTTTCCAACTAGCAGGAGTTAATTTTCAGAAAACACTAAAACCTCAAATACTTTTAATATCCAACTCTTAAGACTCAAAAGTCACACCACTGAAATCGGTGGGAAAAAGGCATCTATACACCAGTGCAAAGCTGGGCATTCCCCTTTTCCTTTTGGAAATAAGGCCTTTCTAAGATGATGCAGATGACTGCAAAGCACGAGTCATCCCAAAATTGGAATAGTATAGTTACAGTAAAGCAAGAAAACAAACCAGTAGTTTGACAGATATGCCTATTAATTTTCTCTCAGTTTGAAATAAAGACCAGAATATTTTGCTCTTATTCCTTTGGCAAGTTATAAGCACATATCAGGCAAAACCGTTTACCATTCACTTAATTACTTTTGCTCCAAGTTTTTTTTTTCTTTAATTCAGGTTGAAAATTATACAAGCCAAATTAGAGAGAAACTTTAGTTTTATATATATATATATATATCTTAATTTTTATTTTATTTTCCACAGATGTTGGAATTCCTGCTTAAAACATTCTGGTCTCTCATTTTCAGGAAACATCATCCTGTAAAGAAAGGCTGCTTGAAATGCAAAATGGTTGTTTCCTGCACAGTAAAGCCACCTGTCAACGGACTCGCAGTAACTCAACCAGTGAGTTACATGGAAGAAAACGTCTTGTTTGCAACGCTTTGGGAGCAGCATACGGCACGGCACTTCACTGTGCCCCAATACTGCAAGAAACTGCACCCCTGGCCCAGCCTTAGTCTGGGCTCCTCAGCTAGGAATTGCTGATATGTAATAGACGCTCACAAACTAGATGCTCACAAACTAGATGTTCACAATAACCTAAAATCGGGGCGTTTGTGCAGAGCTTCTACTTCATATTTTTAAAGATTGATTTGAAATAGGCCGGTGCTCTTAAGGTGGTTTGATTTTCACTAGAGGGAGGTTGATTTTTGCTATATAAAACATTAGTGGGAACTGAGTCCACAGAGGGGACTAAAAAGGTCATTCTCCTGTCTTCAAAGTGAGATTAACAACCGGAAAAATGAGAAAATGGGCAAAATGTTATTGATAAATTGAGTAAGTTGGAAGCTGGAAAAGTAACTTGGCCACTCTCCCACTGCCTTGCAGGTGTGAACCCGTGCTGGAGAGGGGATGTGGACGGCGCGGTGCCGCATGGAGCTGGGCCTCTCCGGGACCGGCAGCCATCAGCACTTGCCACCGCCAGGAAGTCGCTCTCCCAGCAGCTCGATTGCGCCGGAGGCCGCACCTCAGTAAGTGCCCTGGAAACCACCCCAAACACCAGGGAATTGGGCTCAGAGGAAGCTTCCCGAGCGCCATTTGCGAGCCGAGCTTCCTGCCAAAGCACCTTCCTCAGCGACCCCAAGGCTGCAGGCCAGCAAACCCCTTGTCCTCAGCCGCTTGCCCCTCTGGGACCTGAGTCAGAGTCACCTCTAACCAATGCTTGGCCACAGCAGGGATGGCTTCAGCCTGTGGCCAACAGACACCTGGCTGCGGCCCATGCAAGGGTCTCCCCTCCCTCCCACAGCAAGGCCGAACATACCTCAACCAGCCGCCTCAGGCTGGGAGCGCAGGACCAGGCGAGCAGCACCATTTATGGCTGGAGCAGATGGCCCCAGGCTCCAGCCGGCAGCAGTGGTCAGCTCCCAGACAGGAAAACAGACTCCAGCTCCTCTCTGAAGTCAGAGGCGCCCCTGTCCATGCTGGTCCCATGACACCGCTTCCCAACACCTCTTTGCCAGGCAAACATTTCAGCGCCCGCTTGCTGCAGCTCCGACTCCATGGCCTGGCCTAGGGCTGAGCAGCAAACAGAAGTACAACCCAGCCCGGTAAAGCCCACGTGGTCCTGCCCCACTGTGCTCCCCTGCCACAAGGTCGCAGCCACCATGGTGCTCCTGTGCTTCCCCATGGCAGTAGCTGCCAGAAACGCTCCCTCACATAGAGGGGAGCAAGAGACACGTGAAAAGTGAAGAGACACTTCTCATTCAAGAACAGAGGCATAAGCAGTCATCACCCCGATCCCACAAGAGCTGTAACGCACACCTATCTCCCGCATACTCCCAATCCTATGTTGAACGAGTAAGCTTGTTTTCACGCCAAAAAACAAGGCTTATGTTCGGGCATAGGCGGAAGCTGCGTTTCTGACTGGTGTTTCACATATTTCAACAGCCCTCAGTTTCACTTTCCTGAGTAAACAGCTGTGCTAGACTTGCTGGGACTTGTGACGAATGCTATTAAATCCCTTAACTCCGGCCCTGCTGAGCTGTGTACATAGTTAGCCTTAGATAATCACTTTTGTCATTTGACAAGGAAGGACCTTTGTCAGTACTTGGTTTAGTTTGCAATACCTAATCCTGCAATGGTCAAAGAAGGGTTTTTCATTAGCATCTTATTAAAGGTTCATTAAAATGAGTCAGATCTCTGGGGCTGGAGATAAGTTAAAAGGAAAACACTTGCTTAGCAAGCCAAAAAAAAAAAAGTGTGTTTTGCTATATAAAGAACTCCATGTTATGGCTTAACAGAGTTTATATTCTGAAGACCTTATGCAGGCACTAATTCACAGCTTTAGGCCAATACAGAGAAATGGCAATATATCCTTATATGGAGTTAGCTAGTGGCAAGACTGTGGAAGGAGAAGGAATTCTTTGGTTCTTTATTCAGTTCTTGGAAGTAAGGAACAGCTGTAATGACCCCAGTAGCCAAAAAGGGATTTTAGCATAGAGTACCTAGTGAGAGCACAAGCAAATACACCTTTCTACAGCATTGCACACTACTTCGAGGGCTGATACTGTCATTTCATGCTTGTTAAATCTAATTTAGTCAGTGCAGGACAATTTCAGTGAGCAGAACTTGAGAGTTTGAGTCCTATGCATTTAAGACTGCAAAATACAGACTAAAATTTCTTCAGACCACTGACTCCTGAATATATGGTGATGAAAATATATTTCAGCATGAAATGCCCAGATTACTCAGCATGGTCATTGGTTCCATGCAAAATGATCAACTGAAAAACGACTGACTTTGAAAATGAAAAGGCATTAAGTCTTTTCTTAAGAAAACAAATAAAAAACCCCCCCAACCCTTCAGTAACATCAATCATCAGTAAGAAAATTTGATGCAAACCAATTACACTACTCTGACTCCAAGAAAGTTTCCTTCTACACTGAAATTATTATTCTTTTTTTAATTTTCACAGGCTATATCAAGGTCGTCCAGATCGCTAAGTACAGCACAGCTAATGCAGGCATCTTGTGGCTCACAGGCTTCTATGATCTCAAACATCGTACTGATGAAAGGACAAGGGAAGGTGAGGCTGGCTCTGCTGATTTACCATAAAGAGAGTTTTATTTCATTTCCTGAATGCAAGCTGCAAAGACATCAGGATAGGGAAATGACTTTGGGTATTAAGGCTTTGCCAGGATTAATTTGTTAACCATCAGTAACTTAATCTTCTGAGGGGTATCTGTGAACCTGTAGACCAGGTTTTGATGGACATATCCACACCAGCTGAGCAACACCAGCACAGACATACACTGCTCCTCTTATTGGCAGTTGAAGGCTTGAAATCATAGATGCCATCCATAGACATAAAGTAGATTTATGCATAAAATTAGTGTCATTGAAGACACTTAGAGGAAATTGAGACGCTGTAAGCTTAAATACATATCTTTTTGGACTTGTTAAAAAGGTTTTGCATTTTTTATAAATGACTACTTAAACTGTGAGCTTGCTGTCAGAAGTCATTCCATGTAATGTGATAAAACACAGGATCATCATATATTGTCTGTATTTTGGGAGCATATAAGGATATCATGGGCATGCTACTTTTACTTTTCATCCAAAGGATGTTAAATGACTTCAGAGATATGTTTTAGTTTCACAATGTCCTTCTAAGCTTGGTAAGGTGAGGGCAAAGCATGAGAAGTGTCTACCTGAACAGATCAGTTGGTGGTGCTTAAACTTGCAGCCTGCATTAACTCTGCATGGTAGAGGATAAGAGTTCCCCACCTCAAGACATCCGTGTGCCTGAGGTTAGCAGTAATATCAAGATCTTGTATGGTGATTCTGTCAATCCCATTTATAGAAAGAAAATTAAGGAGAATAAAGAATAAATCAATCTCTCAAAATAAGTTATTAGTTCAAGGGCAAATAAACATTCCTGTGGGTTTATAAAAACTGATTGATTGTAACCGAAGCAAAACCCAAATCCTTAGGGCATTAAGCTGATGTTTTTATTTGCCTTTACTACTGACACTTGGGGGTGGCTATGATACAATTCTGACAACTTGCACTGTCCATATGGTTATTGCAAAATAAACTGTGAATTTATTTATTATGACAACTGAACATTGAGTCTCATACATTGCTTTCTTCCCTAAACTAGGGTTTAGGCTTCAGCATTGTTGGGGGAAAAGACAGCATTTATGGGCCAATAGGCATTTATGTCAAAACCATCTTTCCTGGTGGAGCTGCTGCTGCTGATGGAAGGCTACAAGAAGGTGGGAAATCCTTCCTTCTTCCCTTCCTCCCTTTTCCCCACACCAAATCTTCAGAGAATGGGGGAGGGGGGGAAGGGGATTATCTAAGGGCAGATTAAATTGAAGATGAAATGAACCCAGTGTGACATTTATATCTGCATCCCTCATTACATTTGCAAGACTATATTTGAGTACTTGTGTCCATCACGGAACTTTCTGTGAACACAAAGGACTAATAGTAATGCACTGCAATTCTTCCTTCTAAAAACAGGTGATGAAATCCTGGAACTGAACGGAGAATCCATGCATGGATTAACACATTATGATGCTTTACAAAAATTCAAGGTTACGTATTCTTCTCCCAGCATGATTTCTGTCTTTACACACAATGTACATGTGAGCTCAGCTCATTCTTTCATTATCATTTGTTTCTTGCAGGCCAAGAAGGGTCTTCTCACACTTACAGTCAGGACAAGCTTTAGCCCTCCTCATTCTGCTTCCAGTTATCTATCGCCCCACTTGTGTCAGTCACTGAGCTCTAGTACATGTATAACCAAAGAAAATAGCTCTTTCAGTTCAGAGAGCACAATGTTCTCATTAAATGCTACAAAGCCCAATGACAGAGTCATAATGGAAGTTACCCTAAACAAAGGTAAGTGCTAAAATTAACTGAGCACTGACAAACAAGACGCTGATTCACAAAAGACTGTTCATTTGCTCTCAAAATGTCTTTCTTTGCTAACTTGATTCTTTTCCTGAACTAAGGTTTTTTAATACACTAAATCAGATCTCAGTGCCTGCCAATGTTAACAACTAACTATCAACAGCAGGCTTTTGCATACCATCTGTCCACAAGAGCCAATCAATCCTTTCTTTTTTCCATTCACATATCCAACTGTCACATGAATATCTTTCACACGATAAGATAAACCCCTCAGCAAAAGCCACCATTAAGCAAATCATACAATTTTTATGTATATATCCTTAATTATTCAAATTGTTCATTTCATTCTGAAAATGGCTTATAAAATAAGACACATATATCATTTGTTTTTCTTTCACCCCTTTTCCAACCATCATGCTTTTCTATTTATAAACAGCCACTGGCAGACTGAAATATACTTTGAAACATGGGACCATAAAAGCAACAAACAAAGCAAAGTCTCCGTGGGGTAACAGCATGACTTACCAAACACATTGTGTGTGACCAGACTGCCCAGTACAGAGTGGGTGAATTCACAGAAATCTGAAGCTGCAATATATAAAACAAGGAGGTTAGATATGGTATCACAAATAACATTCAGGCATCACATTTCCTCCTTAATCTTTCTTTTTTCTATTGTCTCCTTGTAAAGTCACTTGAATTATACTGTCATGACAGGCATCTTTCAAAATAAACCTGCACTTGCAATGTATCTGCATGTATCTTGAAATGAATCCAACAAGCAATATTGTGTGCATGCTCTTTAGACCTAAAAAGAAATAAAAAGGAAAAAATTAAAGAACAAAAAGCTGTGGGAGAAAAGAGCAGCTAATTTTGAATGTAAAAAAATCATAAACACAATCATTAACATAAACAATATTCTGGTTTGTATAATCCAAAGTTCATTAAACTGAAGATAATTTTAGAAAAGGACTCTCCAATTATTTGTTTTTACCACTTCTTATGCCTCTTCTTTATCAATTCTTTCAGAGGCAGGTGTCGGTCTTGGAATTGGATTGTGCAGCATCCCATATTTCCAGTATATTTCAGGAATTTTTATTCATACCCTCTCACCAGGCTCTGTGGCACATATGGATGGAAGACTCAGGTAGGATGAGAGTGGATGTTTGTCAGGATATCTCACACTGGAAGTTTTCCATTGCTCAGATATGTTACAGCTTCATATTTGACCTACTTGGGCAGGAGGTCCTAGGCCTTTCTGGAACAGTTAGATTTACAGCATATATGCTGTTCTGTGGGTTCGAGCATGTGGGTTAAATATTTGGGATATCTGGAATTTCCATTTACCTGGAAACCCAGGTAAATTATTGTCTCTTGCCTAGGCTGGGCTAGCTTTGGTGGTCTTAGACAAACATATAGCATTCTTTCTATGGAAGATTTCAAAGTGAAAAAGGAGAACGTATCTAGAAACAAGTATGTGTTATATTCTCTTTTTTATGGGCACTAGCTTTCCTGATGCAAGTTCAAACCCAATCCTTTCTTGTCCAGAAGAAATACAGGCTTGCTGAATTTGCTTTAGCAGATGTTTAGAAATTCACCCCATAAGATTTATGACCAATTGGTAATGTTGGGCATGTTCAGGATTGAGCAGAACACAGCACTTCTAGTGAACCTTTTCTAATTTAATGTTGGATGCTTTGTAACCCACATCTCCTATTTGTACAAAATTTTTATGACATGAATGAATGCCTTCAGCAGGCCTCAATTTCTGTCGGTATTTGCAGTAGAGCAGAGAAGGGCAGTTTCAGTCTCCATGTGGGCCAAATTTGGATTTCATCTGGAAAGACTCAGTCTAGCAGAGGGCAGTGATTGATCTGGGTGATGGATGGCAACAAGAAATTTTGCGCTAACAAATTGTTAATATGTAGCAGAAATATCAGAAGACTCTGTCTGACCTTAAATAATGCTAGTAAACCATAAGCACATGAAAAGTGGTGCTAACTTGACAGTGAGGGAGGAAGACGTAGGTGGAAACAACAACTGAGCTGCATGCAGGAGAAAGATCATAGACCACAAGCTTTGCATTGCTCAGTATTTAGAGGGTTCAAAAGCTAAATGCAACAGGGCGGTAAGTCAAAGGAAACTTGATTCACATCTGCTCTTCCCATTTCATTTTGTGAAAAGGGCACAATGGGACATAATAATTTAATCTGCAATGACAGATACAGATTAACCAGAGGAATCTATTTCTTGCATACTTGCCTTTTTTTCACATGCATGAGACAAAGCTGGTGGAAAACATGCTTTGTTCATATCTTCCATTTTTTAAAATCTCTCTGTAGGTGTGGAGATGAAATAATTGAAATTAATGAATCATCAGTACAAAATATGACTCTTAATGAAGTTTATGCTGTGCTAAGCCATTGCAGTCCTGGTGCAGTACAGATTATTATTAGCAGACACCCAGAACCACAGGTAATACTCCATTTTCTTTCTGGTTTTGAATAAAGCACATACTGATGAACCAATATTAAGAGAGGAGCAGATGCTAATCTAAAACAGGTGGAAAAATGTTAACAGAGAGCTGATAATGTCTTTATAAGCATTTATGAATGTGAGACATGAATTAAGGTGCAAATGTGAGATATGCGTTATCTTACATATAATCATAAATGATTTGAAGATCACTGAGAACTTTCTATGCTGTGAATAAAAAACTACAGAAATAAAGTTTAAGGTGCAAAAAATATGTATCACAGCAAAATAAACCTTAGCCAAGAAAAAACTGTAATCAAAGGAGAATAATTTGAAAGAGGGAGCCTACAGCCTCAAGAAGAAACAAGTACTTATACACACTCTTCCATGATGTAATTAAAATTCAGATCTTGCCCAGCCAGTATTTGATACTAAATTAATATTGAAATATTTTATTCTTAGAAGATGCTTCTACAAAATGCTTCCTACAAGCACTCTGTAAATGATTAATGAGCTTGAATTGTGCAACAATTATAATAAAAATGTAGTTTTAAATTATCTTATTCTGGTAAGTTCAGACCTGTCCTTCTAATGAAATATTCAAATTCACACTTGACTTTGAAAGATCTCATTTTATTTAAACAACTTATATAAATGGCATATATTTCAGCTATACTTAAATATGTTCAAAGACAACGTGCACTTCTTTGCCTTTAAGCTTAACTGTTACATGATTTAACTAGATCTATTCATTTCAATTAGAGGGCTTGCACGAGCTAGAGATCTTTGCTGGAGGAATCTGGATTTAAATGTTATCACACAGCAGTCTCATGAGAGTATAATGACATGGTATTTCATAGGTGTCTGAGCAACAGCTAAAAGAAGCTGTGGCCCAAGCTGTGGAAAACAACAGATTTGGAAGGGAGAGGCACCAATGGAGTACGGAAGGTAAGGAAATACATGCATTCATTGAGACATTGCAATTTTGACTTGAAAATACATCTAAGATTAGTACATGTTGCGATAGAATCCTTGGTCAAGTGAACTGGAGCAAAAAAGAAGGAATAGGAAAGCTCATAGGACTGCAGACCTAACATGTCTCCTAAGATACATTACCATAGAGCGATAAGAAGAGACTCTATCTGATGGATCTTCAAAAAAAGATTTTAATGCAAACTTCCTCTTGCTCATACTTTCCAGTTCATAACCACTGCTCAGAGCTTTTCAGACAGCTGTGGGTAGCTGACAGGAGCATGATAGTACAGAACTGCAACATGCAGGTAATGTCCTGGGGGAAGAAAAAAAAAAAAGTTTGTTAGATCCCTTGGAAGGAAAGGTTTATACAGACGTGGTTAAAGCTATTTGCCCAGTTCAGCTGTGATATCCTAGCAAGGCCATATTTTGCAGTATGATACTGCTTTCAGCTTCCTTACTTCTTCTAAATGTTTATGGGTAATAGAACTGAACCATCATCAGCAAGCTGTAGGAAAAAAACGTTAATTTTTTTTTTTGATGTGATGCACTAATCATATCTATGCATCCATTGATGATGGTGATTAGTTGCAAATCCAATCAGCTGAATCTTAGAAGCAAGCACTTTATATTTATCTGAATTGATATTTTGAACATGTTCCTGATGCAGGTGTCAAAAAACTAGAGACAAGCTGGCATGGAAGACATCCATGTGAAAAGCATATTGAAAGGAATGCTGCTTATTGCAGCCGCCGGACACAGAAGATAATGACTCGCTCCAGCAGTGACAGCAGCTACAACCCTCGGTCATCTTGTAGTAATGGTGCTGCTTACCCGCTGCCTGACTTGAAGGCAAGGGTACATAGTATTGATGTGCCCATTACCAGACAACCCGGCCTGTTGCACTCATTTTCTGGAAACAACCTGGAGAACAATTCCCCACCTAGCCCTAGTCAAGGAGGTCGACTCCCACAAAACACTAAGAAATCAACAGAGATCCTTGTTAGGAAACCTAGATCATCAAAGCCAAAACCTCCACCAAGGAAGTATTTTAAGCAGGACTGTACAGGTAACGACCAGTGCAATGCAGACAGGAAAGAAAAGCTTGTTTCAGAACTGGCTCTATCACCTCCTGCAAATGTTCAGGTAAAGCAAAATTTGCAAAATGTCTTTTGTGGGGAGAGGGGAAGGAGGAGAAGAGCAGCTGTGTGATGGCAGGAAGAAAGATGAGGGGAAGAGAGAAGGAAAGCGTATATATGTTTGAGAGGAGGAAGGTTCTTCTCTTCTGAAAATGGCGAGCATATCTTAGCGAGGCTTGTTTAGTTCTAAACATACGTCCAAACTAAAACTAATAAAGCAGAAAAGTGTCTCAAGGAAGTCTTTTGCCATATCTGTGTTCAAACCCCAAAGACTGCATCAGTAAGAATAAATCCTAGTCCCCCACTGGCATTCCCAGTGAACATGGGCCACTGGTTCCAGGGTGGCTGGAACTGCAATGTGCCGTGGGCTGGGAGCAGAGGAGTTTGCATGATCTCAGTTGGCAGCCTGATATGGTTCATCCTGATCTCAAAGCTTACTGTGTCCAGCTGCTCAGGAACTACAGAAGAATCATGTGAAACAGTTTGTTTCGCTAGTGCATTTCTGTTAAAATAGAAGGACTAGCATTATGAACAGCAGGTAATTTTGGCCTCAGATATCTTTACTGCAACAAAGAAGTATTAATAAACACTTTTAAATTGTCAGTGATCTGCTTTTTTACTTGCTAAGGAGGTACAGTCTTTGAAAATTGAGTAAATATTTGTACAATTCTGAATTTCAGTTCCCTTTCCTATTTAAGATAGGATAGAAAGACACAGTGTATCACATTTGTATGATTGTGAGATCTGCATGTTGAAACAGGGCCGTGGTTTGCTTAAAAAAGGAACCTATTTCCCCTGGGTTTAGTAATATGCCGGTAGAAATGAGCAGCCCCTACTGCAGTGCAAACCAAAAGCGACTAAACTTTCAGTTTTAAAAGTGCACATCAAAATAAAACAATATAGCTCAGACTGAAGTCAAGGTATAACATTAACATCCACATTTCAGTTCAACACCTCATGTAAGGCGACAACTCCATCATCCTCTAAGAGGAGGACAGTAGAAATGCTCAACAGATACTAGGAAATCACCAAGGAACTAATAATTTACTGAATTTTCACTGAACACAACTAAATCTCTCACAGCCCTCAGTTACTCTAAAGTGTTATTCTTTCTCTTTATCATTAAAATCAATAAACTATAAGATAAGAAGTCAAGGTCTGTTAATGAAGAGAACGTCCTCTAACGTTAATACTCTTCAGGACAGTAGCTGTTTTAAGTGACCATGAGAGATTGTTTCTTTCCAGAATATTTTGCAAATCATAGATGAAACCTTGACTCCTATTCAATATTTCTTTTCAGAGAAAAAGAAAAAACAAAATGGCAAAAAGATGTTTTTCATATAATGGGGTTTGCATAATTACATTCTGACACACTTCTGAAGAATAAAAAACTGTTATAACCCACAGTGTCTTTACCACTTCTCCTACAGCAGATGATACTGAACACGTAGCTGCTGTTGCAGGGGACAGAGATCAGGAAAGAAAACCAAACCTAGGTATGTTTTATTCCATAAATTTTAATTTGATGTTTCCAGATGAACCTAACATTTATTTTGGATTCCAAAGCGAGTTTCAGAATGACTTCATCTTCAGCTTTAAATACAGACTGCAGCCATATCTGTAAACTCCTGGGTGAATAGATGAAATTTTAAAATATTATTTACAGTGATCAGTTTTTGAAAAAGGGAAAACTACATCAAAATATGTACAGCAGATGATTATTGTTAAAAAGTAAAACTTGATACGTATAGCATTGCTGTGTGTTTTTGGATGACAATTTTCTTATACCAAAACTTACTTTTTAGTTTTAGTTTAAGTTGAGACTTATCTTTAGCATTTCTAAAAAATGTATTCGATGCATATTTTTGCTAGAAACAACATTTCAATTTTGGCTATTTTAAGAGCTGCAACCTGTATCAGGACTTCAACATCAGAATAATTCGAGTTATCTTCATATGTTACAGGTCCTTTTAGAAGGGTGATTCTGTACCTAAGCACAGACAAGCTTTGATTTTCAGCAAATTCTAGTGTCAGGAAACAGATTTAGATTTGTGAATTTTTTAAAAAAGTATAACTTTCCAGAAAATTAGCATTGTTAGAGACTTGAATGAAATTCAAATTTAGTGAAGTAATAACATAGCTAACGAATGGATAGGGAGAATCAGAAGGAGTCTTATTAATAGTCAATGCTTTTCTAATACAGGGAATCCTCTTTCATCAATACAACGGCCTATACTCAAAAGACAAGCACGAGTAGATTACAGTCTTGATACAACAACAGAAGACCCTTGGGTTAGAATTTCTGACTGCATCAAAAGCTTATTTAGTCCCACCATGAGTGAAGACAATGGACACATAGATCTGCAACCTGGCATCAACACAAATGAAGCAAATCATGCTCAAAGCTGCTCAGAGGCAATTCTGCAGAAATCAGAGTCAGAACTAGTCAGTTCAAAAGGACCAAAATCAGATGTAAATGATGCTGTGAAAAAGGGTCCTCCGGTTGCTCCCAAGCCAGCCTGGTTTCGCCAAAGTCTGAAAGGACTGAGGAAAGCAAGTTCAGATCAAAAATCCCAAGCAGACCAAAGTTGTACTGAACTCCAGAGTATGTCCAGCAAAGAACTGCACTCCAGCTTATCCCGTGTCTCTTCTAGGGGATCATCGATAAAACAAAGAATAAGCTCATTTGAATCCTTGAGTGCTCCTCAGTCGCCTGAAAAAGTTCACCGAAGGATCAGCCCCAAACCATCCCTTCAAAAGGAACACTCTCCCAATGCAAAAGGGTGGGGAGAGGCTCCAACCCAATTAACCCAAAACTCTTTCCAATGCTCTGAAAATAGCCAACAGCAGGCGAAGTCACCAGTGGACCTGGAGACAAAGAGCCTAGAGAGATCTCCCCCTTCCAAGGAGGCTCCAGCTAGTGCAGCTAGCTCAGAGAAAAGCATCAATTCCAACTCTGAAAATTCACTGGGTCTCCTAACTGCAGAAGCCATGGCACCTTCCCGTCTGGTATCAGCAACCAAAGCTCAGAGCCTAAGATCACGAAGCTTCCCACTTACTGCTACCCAGTCTTGTGAGATCATGAAGACATACGATGAAAAATACAGCAAAATCTACTCCATCAGTAGCCAGGTGTCATCGGCTCTAATGAAGTCCTTGCTTTGCCTTCCTCAGTCACCAGTCCCTGCTGGAAACAATGCCTGGGAAGCTCTGGATACCTTGTCTCAGTCCTCTGTGGAAGAGGATGGGACTTCTCTCTCACCCATGAGTGAGACTCATCAGTTGGATACTGGATTTTCTCTAAAGTAAGGCACCATATTTAAAATTAGACCAACAGACCTGTGTTAGGGAATCTGTGCTGGTTAGCTTATAAAGTAGCATTCTAGACATAGCACAAGATAGTAAAGCACAGACAGAGGTAGGAACTTTTTAGAGTGCAAAGGATGAATGACTCACATTTATTTTTATGTGTTTGTGTGTATATTTACAAGTTTCCTCCTAGTTAAGGACAAATATCTCCAGGATGTCTATAATTAAGAGGCAGGACTGAAAAAAAACAGACCTCACTGCTGCTAAAGATCGGTTCACATTTGCTGGCGAGGAAGCTGAGGAATTTTAATGCATTACTTCAAGATTATGTGAAAAGCTGCTGCTTTAAGACTACACAGTGCCCAGATAAACTAGCTGTAACTAGTCACTGTAGTGAGGTGAATTAAATAGCCAGCTACTTCTACCTTTTAAAATTAGTGCCACCAACTTGCCAGTCTTTCTGGATGAGTTGTGCAATTACACCGAGTATCAATTGCAGTAATTATATTTTTGATATGGAGAAGCAAACCTGGCACTAGTAAGTGCAGGTGATATTCTAATAACTTTTTCCAGAAGGTTACAGGCTGGAACAGCTAAGAGATTTAAGTGGTATTCAAAGTAAACACTGGATTTTGGGTGTCCATCTGAATCTTATAACTGCATCACCTGAATAGCATTTTCTGGAACCAATTATTTTTTTTTTTGAAAATTGCCTTTCTTAGAAAATGGAATACTTGCACACACATCTGTGGTTTTTTTCCTCCCTTACAGAAAAAGGCCCCAAACCACAACCTCTTTACGTATTTCCAAACACATATGCAAAGGAGAGATTAAAAAAAAAAATTAACAAAGACATGGGTTTCTTTTAAGCCTGTTTCAGCCTGGAGCCAAAAGATGATTGCTGTTCTTTCATGTGGTGAATTCTACTTTTCTGTTGTACTTAAATGCTTAATTTATACAAACATATATACGTTGTTTTATATATATGTTCTGTCATAACTTAGTGTTTTTTCTTTAATCTTTTCTCAATGGCACAGCCTCTCTGAGCTGAGAGAATACACCGTGAGCTTAGCAGACAATGAGAAAGAGGAAGAGAAACAGGAACACGGCTCACCTCAGGCTTCCGGTGCAGCTGGGCAGTCTGTCATCTCTCTCCTTTCTCCTGAAGAGTTAGCAAAGCTTATAGAGGAAGTCAAATCTCTAGATGAGGCAACCTTAAAGGTAAATCTGCATTTCCTTGCAGGGACCTGCTCAGTTGACACATCTAGTTAATCTGAGCAGTATGACATTATTGTTAATAAAATAATCATAGCTATGCGTATCAGGAATAATGTTCAACTATTTTGATCAGAAATTTCAAAAAAACAGTCTGCAAAAATAGTTAAGCGAGACATTTTACTAATGGGGATGCAGCAGGCATGGTCAGAATACGCAAAAGTAAGCACTAATATTGTGGAGCCCTTCCTTTCTATTTGGGTTCACAGTCTGAGATACATGACACCTGATCTAGGAGATACTGAACATCCTTTAGTCTTATTGGAGTCATGTAAGATTGTGGTAATGCTCAGAATAAGACAAAATAAAAGCTAAATTTGTTCCTTCCAAAACAGCAGAGATTTTTTTAAGACAGTCCATGTTAAAGAAAAAGCAGGTAACAGCAAAAACTGCATTGAAAATACAGTCTTCTGCTGGCAGCTCTACGCTTGCTGTGCTAGGTGCTGTAAGCTGCTCAAAAGCAGCATGACATAATATAATAAGAAGCCTAAATTAATATATTTTGTTTTTTAGCTAACTGCAGTAACATGGTTCCTAGGTTAGTCCTGGTTTGCACCTGTCCTGTGTGGAGCTTTGGTAGTGAATTCATATCTGCCTTTCAGAAGACCAGGTAGACATATTCTCATGTCCTAGACATATTCTCACTGACTATATCAAATCTGGCCAAAAAAAGCACTTGAGTCTGGCATAAACAGAATATTAGACTCTATTTCCTTAAGAACTTCCTGGTATATTACCAGGAACCAAAAAGCAGTTCGAAAAGCAGAACTAACGTCAGCCAAGTTTTGTACTGATACATGCTGATACTGGTCAACATCCCACATGGGTATTTTGAGACCTAATTAGCAGTAAACTGCTGTGCTGGATACAATGGGGACATTAGCCTCTCTCATACCCAGTCCTCCGTTTTCATGAAATTGTCAGGATAGCCTCTTAGAGCTGCTATCCGCTGCCTGGTTGCAGCTGGCCACTGGATTCAATGGTGGAAGGAAACAGGACACAATATCAATGGATGCAATTACACCAGCACACATCCTGAACAGGACTGTGAAAAGTAGTCAAGAAAGCCACGTTTCTGTAAGGAACTAAACTAAATAGGAGTTCTTTCCATAAACACACTCATCATGTATGGGATAACACAGTAAAAACCAGCTCACTCCACCTGGGGCTATTACTAGAATACTGAAAAATAAAACTCTGACTTAAAAGCAATTTTTAAGCCATGACTTGACGAAAAGAAAGCTTTCCCCCCTTTTCAGTAAAAGGTCCCTCTACATAAGCCATCAATATTTTTCTTCTACAGTATATAGTATTTAAAGTCTTTAATGTAAAACCCATATAACTCACTAAAAAGTATGCTTTTAGAGGCAGATTAAATAGTTTATAAAATAGTAAATTGATATGCAAATATTTTATCAGCAAATAAATACCAAATATATGTCAATTATCTAAACTTTGCTTATGCCCCTAAGCCACATTACAAAATGTACAGTAGACAAAAAGAACACCTGCTGATTTTCCTGTCATCTTGAGATATGTTAAGATGTTCTTGACATTATTGCCTTCTCTGCCAAGGAATTTGATGACATTCACGTTACAATTCTGCATAAAGAAGAGGACACTGGGCTTGGATTCAGCCTGGCAGGAGGAATTGATCTAGAAAACAAAGTGGTAACAGTAAGTAGCATCTTTCTCAAAAAATACTCCTAAAATGAATACTATCTAAAAACATATAAATTAATAGGCTTCTACTGCAGGGGCTGACTTTCAGCATAATGAAATTAGGCCAGTTCTCCCTAAACAGCTGCTAAAGTCAAGGCCAAACAGCCCACACACTGCAACATTTGGAAGCACTGGCCTTCTTGTCCCTATGCTTTAGGAGGGCCCATGGGGAGAACCAGGCCTGCTGGGAGGAATAAAGGGAATATATGAGCACATAGCAGCTGAAAACTAGAGACAAGCATCACATAATCCCCCCTCAGCTGGCAGAGCACAGAGAGGATGAAGAGTAGCAGAGGCAAAGTGCTTCCCACAGCAGCAGGGCCTTGGCCATCTGACCTTGGGGCTGGACACATCATTTAGCACTTGGAAACTGCTGGAGGAGGGTTGTACCCAGGAGAACTTTTCTGCACAACGTTATTCAGCCCTCAGCTCTGGAATGTGCTAGAAGCAATTTCTGCCTGGCAAAACTGGAATGATTTAGTAATTTGTCTTTTTTCCTCCTGTGTGTGTGTGTGTGTGTGTGATGACTGGGGTCTTTGACAGGTTCACAAAGTGTTTCCTAATGGACTAGCATCTCAGGAAGGAACTATTCAGAAAGGAGATGAAGTATTATCCATTAATGGAAAGTCTCTGAAAGGTGCCACTCACAGCGATGCCTCAGCAATCATGCGACAGGCCCGGCAGCCCAGGCAAGCTGTTGTCGTCACTAGAAAAGCTAAAGATGGAGAGAAAAGTCTTAATGTTTCAATAGATTCTAGTACATCTTCAGTAGCAAGTGATGTCTCACAAGAGTCTGGTGAGTATGTGCAGCATAACCCTGCAGCCACCATCCACTAAGCGTTTACTTGGCACCGCAAATTCTGGCTGTCTTGAAGAACAGCTCAGTGTTAGCCAGCTAAACCCCAGAGCCATGATTAAAGACAGTACAGTTCACAGAGCACTCCTGGGATAGATACTTGGAAGGACTGTGCTGGAGAGGAAAAAAACTACTGGATTTTTAAAATAAACCTTCTAGGAAAAAAAGAGGTTTCTTCAGTATGCAGTTCTGAAGACATACAAAGATTAGCAGATATACTAAAAATATTATAAGTATGTTGACAATTCAATGAACAGTGATTATTCTATTAGTTCCTACTTTACGATTTCTTTGTAGAAGAGAATTTCAAAGCATAATCTGGAAATCTGCAGCCTTATTTACATATTGCAAGTGAATACTAGTAGCTTTGTTGTTAATAACAGTCTCAAAATTAATACCAAGTCACATGTTTACCCTAAATTTTGTTCACTGAACAGATTTTTCCAATTCTAGTAAATGTTACCAACTTTGCTTTTTATCTTTCCATTCTGCTGTGAGTTCAAAACACAACTTGCTCTCTCCAATTTCCCAGGCGGCCTTACAGTGACAAAAAGAAAAATTAAAAGCTATTATTTCCTCTTCCATTTGGCAAGTTTTGGTGCCTTTGCAAACAAAACAAACAGAAATGGATTCTTTAGAACAGATCTTATTGGCTATTCACACTATACGTTTCCCATCTGCTAATTTCCCATTTATTTCCAGCAACTGAAAATACAATCTGCACTGTAACTCTAGAAAAAACACCTGCTGGTTTGGGATTCAGTTTGGAAGGAGGGAAGGGCTCTATTCATGGCGATAAACCCATTGTCATCAACAGGATATTTAAAGGTAAACACATTTAACTGTATGTATGCAGGTCCTTAGCTGAGACAAACTTGTACACGTCATGACTGATTGCCGATTTATACTCACAGAAACACTTTAAAAAAAAAAAAAATACAGCATTACCCATTTCAGTCCAATGTGACTGATTTGCTGCTCTCTCTGCTAAGACCAGGTGGTTAAAATCAAACATGCTGATCCTCTTTAATGAGTGAAATATTTGTTAAAGTGTCCTCCAAACAAAAAAAATAAAGGAAGTTAATTTTCTTTCTTCAGGGATTTCATCAGAACAAAACAGCCCTGTTCAGCCTGGTGATGAGCTATTACAAGTGCACACAACTGCTATGCAAGGACTCACCCGTTTTGAAGCATGGAATATAATCAAGGCATTACCCGATGGGCCCATCACAGCTATCATCAAGAGGAAGAATCTGAGCTCTGTTACCATCAAGTCATCCAAAACTTTGTAAGTAGAGGAATTGGACTACCACCAATATTACAAACAAACTAAAGTTTCATTACTGAAAGCCATTTGGCCAACGTAGGAAGATATTGTGAAAGCACGTATGAAAAATACATGTGATCTTACTGCCAGTTACAGCTGTTTTTGCAATTCCAGAAGAAGCCGTTTGGGATAAAATGAAAAAATATGTACAAAATGCTCATGAGTCTTACTTCAACATTCAGAAACAGATGTTACAAAGTGTAAAATAATGCAATAATGACTTTATTAATAATATACTGCTTGTAAAATGTGTGACAGCTATGGTACTGTCCTATTTTAACCATTAACTTAAGAAAATAAGAAACACACCCCGAGGTAAGTGTTCAGCCCTGTTCTAGTAGTTTTGCTCCTTAACCTATGCATGTAGGAGGAGGCAATCTGTCTACAACCCTATAAGTAAACATGCTACAGTACCAAAAATCATTTAAAGGATGTGTAATGGACAGAGAAATGGGGATGCAAGTCAAAAGTACAACAGTCCTAAGAAAACTACAGCTTTTCTGTTCAAATTACAAAACAGTCAAGAGTGCCAAAATCTGTCCAAGAACTTTCTGCTAGCAGATGACCCAACCATCTTGACTCTAGCAAGCAAACACTAAGGAAAAAAAGGGACCATCTGCAAGTACTGTAAGGGTAAGGGAGGAAGCTAAGGATAAAATAGCGAGGGTTTTCTAATCACTGTCTGGCCTGAGGTCTGACAGGACTAATGCAGGAGAGCACAGAGCCATTGAGAACTCTGTCTTACAGTCTGCCCACACATAAACTTATCATGGTGGTGATTCCTTAAGAGAAGTGTCAAGAGTATATGGGAATTAAAGCTTTTGGGCCCAACAGTCCAAAACACCAGAAGTTACTCTAGAAATACTAACAGCTTGGAGACAAACCTGTACTTTAAATACTCCTGAGAATATTTTGGGTCTTTAATCCTCTGCATGTGGATCTATGGCAAGATAGTGTTGTTCACCCATTTGGTGTTCTCTGACCAAATGAAAAGAAGGAGATTTAAGGGAGATCTTCTCATTAAAGGGAGAGTTGCAAGAGCAGACGCCTTGTCCTCAAAGTAGTTGGTCCGTAGCTGAATGCTGGGTGGCTACACTGTTTATTGTCCTTGGCTCTTCACCTTTCCATACTTGGGAAGTCTGCTGCACTTTTCCTAGGTTTCTTAATTTCACCGGACCATAAGTTATAGGAGTTCCAAAACTGTTTCATGAACACTTAAGACAAGGTCACAGAAATGACAATTGTTGCAAGGAGAAGTAGGACAGATAACAGAAGATATTCATGGCATCCAAGCATGGCTCTGGCCTTTGTTCACAAATCCACTCTATGCTAATCCTGGCAAGAACATTCTTGACAAGCCATCTGCTGCCACCAACACCTAGACCCCCTTCCAATTGACTGACTTCTCCAATTAAAAAACAAAAAAATTCAAAGGAAACATTCTACCAATTCTGTAGCAAAAAAAAAAAAAAAAAAAAAGGAAGAAAAATTAGCCTATGATTCTTTTTGTACGTTTTAAAATAGTACCTACCTGTGTTTCTGGCTTAACACAGTCTAAGTAAACACCTGGTGCATATACAAGTTCTACGGTGTTCCAACCACTTGCCCAAATCACCAATATGGGATAAACGTGAATCGCTTCTGTACAGTAAAGCAGCACAGTTAAAGGTATTTCCTGTCAAAGCCAGATCATGCTTTTCTGGTCAGCCTTGTGGCTTTAACGATTGTATGGATAGAGCCATGGCACCAAATGGCCTAAATTAACATCAGTGTCATTTACTGAAGATGTGCCAACTAGAAACAGCTATTTTACTTCATCAAATTAAGAACTGACAGAACAATCAACACAGGTTTGATTTCATGTTTGCCGAAGGTGCTTCTCTCTTCTGTCAACAGTTTTTTTGGCTTCTCCTTCCATTTCCCGATATCATCCAGGATCAAAACCGGAAGAGGAAATACACTGTGCGACTGGCAGCATTTTCTACTGAGGTAGACATCCAACATCTTACAGGAGGATCTTTACTAAAGACCTTTCCATCCCTAACTTGGCAGGGCAGGAAGACTGCACTATCTTAAAGGATCTTAATTCCTTCTAGATAATGTCTTGAACAGTCAGAAGAAAGGAGCCTTAAGTTATTCCAGTGAAGAGCCTCCCCTACCATCCTTATTGTGTGAAGTAACATAATGTACATACATGTACAAACACACACACAAAAACAAATATAGTTAACATAAAAAGGCCCACTATCAGCATTAAGTTTACTTGCAGGAATAAATGGGGGTGATCTGTATTCTGTTCATTTAAGTTTTTGATCTTTAAACTGACAAAAATCACAATCCTTCAAAGATCTGCACAGATGGTGCATGCTGATTTACAGCACTTTTAGATAAATGTGTATTAACCTCTGTAGTAGCAGGGTCCAAACCTCTTCTCAGTCAATTGCTTAACTCTTAAGCAGAGAAAGCACCAATCTAATTTGGAATTAATAACCAAGAGAAGACACAGGACTCAGGAGAGTTAGTGCTCTCACCAGAACACCTGAATACTCATCCCCACTTAATGGGGAATGCAAACGGGAGTGAAGGCTCTTTTCTGCCTGGATGCACTGAATTTACAGAGATGCTGCATGTTCAGGAGCCTCCCAAATTTCCCTGTTGGCAAAGCAATGGGGTGGGAAACAATTTTAAAGGATGATCCAATGAAAACAGTAAGATATAGCAGAAAAATATTTATTTTGTATCACTCTCATAGGAATTTTTACATCTTTGTGCACAAAGGCAACGAGATTAAAAACTGCTTCCCTGAAAAGTCTATTCCACAGGATGAAAATTACAGTAGAAAAATTTGTATTCAACTCCATACACTCTACTATACATACAACAAATACAGGGACAGAAAACAGAGCATACTAATCTCATTAAATAATCAAATTACAGTATTAAAATCATAACCTGCATTTAAAATTCTAATTCAGCAATTTACTTTTTTCCCTTTTGTAATTATATGCAATCCATAACAACACCTGACATTCCTGCAGTAATCAGTCCCATAAATATTTCCGAGAACTGCAAGCATCACTGCACACTAGATCAGGAGCTGAATTCCCAACATAATGCTGTAAGATGAGGCAGTCTTAAAGAGAAACAAATATGCTCTGTCAAATCAAGGCTAAGGTACAGAAAGATTACGTTCCGGTTAATAACTCTCTGTATAAGAGATGGAAGAATGTTTAAATACGTGGTCATTTCAAGTACAGTTAGAAAAAATAGCAGGTAAAGTGCTTTATCTTGTTTATTTACTACCACTATGTCAATGCAGTTTGGTTTGTGATATTGTGGAAATCACGGCTTTTGGTAGAGAAGGGAGGAAAGGAGCTTGCCAGACCACAGAACTGTGAATTGATTTAGACTGATAGACCTTGATTCAGAAAAGAGAACTTGAGCACATGTTTACCATTAGTACGAAGTCGCTGGAAGAAGCAAGTTGGCCCCTCCAGACACAGCCCGATTCATTCTGGCTTCCTCTGCTTGCTGGCTTGGTCCCATCCTCACATCTTTGCAGCTATGCGAGTGCTGGCAGCGAAAGAGCTAGCGCTTCCTTTGAGGAAGGAACGTTGTTCCAAGGGAGTCTCTGGGGAGCTGCAGAGAGACAACAGGGCTGACCTGCACCTGACCAGTGCTCGTAGCGCTAAGTGGATTTTAGAAAGCTCCTCTTGATAGACACTGATGAAGTGTGGCCAAGAACAGATGAGAAATATGCATCTTTTCCCTGCAGACAGCTAGCAGTGTGCTGCCTCCAGGATTCTTTCAGCATCCTGTGTGATAATCTTTATTTTAATAATGAAAAAATACATTAGAAGACAGTGCATTGCTTTGAATGCAGACAGGTAGAAAATGCTGGGTGAAAAGTTTACCTTGCTCAATTCATTGTTCCCACTTCACCTTTTCTAAGTATCTCTGCTGTTAAAAAAGTGTTGTAGGCCAACCTCTATTTCCCATCATTTCTAACCTCAAGCTGCCAGTGGTTTTTCTACCCTCAGTTGGTCATCTCAGCAACTGGCTTTGTCACGATTTTAATGTCTTAACAGCTTTTTTCAGATTGCTATAAAATCCAGCTATGGTTGCTGGAAAGAAGGATTCCACCACAGTCTGGGGAAGATAGCCACCAAGATCGGTCTGGAAGAAGGTGAGGACTTGAGTCTTGTTTGATTCTCTGCAAAAGCAATGCAAGTAATTTTATAGCTTCATGTTTAAAGATATTAAGAACTTTAACCTTTACATGCACTAGCTGATGATAGATAAAAAAAAAAGCTTTATTTTTTTTTGTATTGACAACAAGCATTTTTCTAAAATTTCTACGAATGTGGCTATCCCTGCAAGTCAAATTACAACCAAAGGAGGACCCAATTAGATACATGATTCTGTTTTTGAATTACCCAGTGAAATAAACCACCATGTACTCATTTTTGAAAAGCTGAAAACATGCTTGTATGTTTTGCTGAATCTTTGCATAAAAGGTCAGCAGAAATCCTACCATAATGATAGTTCCTGTAACATTAACAACTTCCTTCTAGGAAATGAAAAGAGAATAATTCATTGCACAGAAGGGAACAGAAAGTGCGCTCTTCATAACGATGACAAGTCACAGGAAGACAGAAACCTGTGGTTCCCTAGAGGCTACAGGTCACTTATGGCCATAGGGCCTTATACTCTTAGATTGAACTACAGACAGGAAGGACTTCAGAATATATAGTGTTTAAATAGATCTGTTCTTACCCTGGAATAGGTATACAGAAAGAGCCACAGGGATAATTAAGCCCTCTAACGAAATTGGCTTGAGGAGGGCAGAGTGCGTGTTCCACATGGCTGGCTATAAGAGAAAGCATCCAAGAAAAATACCATTTTCACAGGAGATGTCAAAAGGCCCATTGTAATCAAAGCACCATCTAAGAAGCAACTTAAAGGCATATATTTAAGAGAAACAATAGCCTAATGTTTTTAATGTTAGGTTGCAGCCATACAGGCAGTCAGAAAAGATGACTAAAAGGAACAATTTTGGCTGTGAAATCTACAAAACAAAATTAGTTGCACTTCTAACTGAGCTGTGAGGTACAAAGCAAGACCCTTTCAAGCAGTTTTATTGAAACTGCGTAATATGAGGTCACTGCTCATCTGAGAGGTCATTCAAGTTACTTCCAACAATTCCATTCCACAGGAGTATGTACCATTGGTCTGCTAAGAAACACAGGACAATGGGATGGCTGAACAGTGGGGCAAAGAAAAACTAAATTGTAACAGGTAAACAATATGCTAAAGTGAAAAGAGGAGAGGCATGCACGTATGCAGTACCAGCCCCATAAAAATCACTACTTTAGAGAGATGATTTTTTAGATAAACAATAATGGTAGTTTATTCAGTTATTCAGTTTATTCATTAAAAAAAAATCAAGCAGCGTTGTAGAAAATGGTAAAACAAGATTTATCTCAAAGTAGTCCTTTCAAAAAGTCCTGCAAACTCTAAAAAAAAAAAAAAAACACAAAACAAAACAACAACAACAAAAAACTTAACAGTAAATGAAATAACTATTTGATCTCAAAAGATTACCATAAGAAGAAACTACAGGCGAACAATACAATCATTGCCTGAACAAAAGCCTGACTTTTGTACTCCATCTGAGGGCAATGATGTAAGCATGCCATTACTATTTTATCTTCTGATCAAGATCGAATCCACAGCCTCCAAACAGCAAACGTTATTTATTTTTCATCTTCTATTTATTTGTTGTAGCTACAGATTGCCTTATAGCATTATATTAGCACACTGCACATAAGCATCTTACCCGCAGATAGCATAGTGCCATCTTCGTATTGCTTGGTTACTACCACATCCACAAATTCTCTTGGTGAAATAATCTTCCTGAAAGCTGAAGGGGTTGTGGTTCTGCACACAGAAATATTCTAGAAGTTACAAAACAGAATTATGTCAATCAGTGCTTTACAACAAAGATCCTTATGCAACTAGGAGCTCTAACAGTTACTCTTTAGCCATACTATAGAGTTCCATTCACTATTTCTTTAAAAAAAAGCAGTTCAGCACAACTGAAGCTCTCGTACCTGGCACTAATGTGTATTGATAGACAAACTAATGGAGGAAAACAACGATGTTCCTCACAGGTAAGACACCACAAGGGATGATGAAATGGGTATTGGGCACATCTATACATATGGGATATTTAAAACGCCTGTCCTTTTTAGGGAGTTAAAGGAGATATCTTCTTTCTACCACATCACACAGGATGAAGTTTGATACCTAGACTTGTTCTACTGCAGAAAATTTATTACTTTGGTCCCCTTGTATGAGTGTATTGCAATGGAAAGCTCCCAGAACAGTTTTTTCTACCGTACTGGTAAACACTGGAAAGCCTAACAAAGTCTATGAATATCAAATTGCAGGCTTTACCATTTCTAAAGATGTAGTTTATATTTAATTCCATAAATTTGTAAAATTCTGACAAGAGAAACCTACCTAGGGCTCCCACCAACACCCCTAGGATCGGTCATCTTCGCACCCTGGAAGCCTTAGAGTAACTACATCCATGACCTCCTGTTTGGGGAGCTAAGCCTCCCTCTTTTAAATAAAACTTTGGAAATTAGGCTGTGTTCCCAGCGCGGCCGCGGCAGCAGCTCTTTCATAGTCCTTTTTACTCGCAATGCTCCACGCACTCCACATGGACATAAAGAGCATCTCTGAGTAGAAGAGGGAGCCGTTGCGACAGGGCCGGGCGGCCCGGGGTCAGGCGAGGACAGCGCGGGCGCAGTTACGCCGCGGGCCAGGCCAGGACGCAGCAACGCGAGATTCTTCGGCAAGGGCCGCGCAGCGGCACCAGCTCTTCAGCGCTCAGTGAGGTCAGGGCATTTTCTAAGTCTCCTCTCCCCTTGCAAATAACTTGCCAAGAACAATCATGAGACACCTTAAAAGCTTAGCTGTGTTAATAACAATCTCAGCTATCTACATGTTATGAAACACCCCATGTCCACCTCTCCCAAAACCAACGCCAGACCCCCCAGGACACTTTCCGTTTTCCAGGCGCTTACCTCAGTGATCACCTCCATGACCTCAAAGTCCTTCACGTTTTCATCCCACTCAATTCGCAGGCCACCGGCCACGGGCTTGATGTGCTCCCACACGTCAGCGGGGCTGGGGGGCACGAAGCCATCGCCGCG